TTTTTTTTTTTTTTTTTTTTTTTTTTTTTTTGGTCCGCGTTCGGCCCGAACGGCCGAACGCCTTCCGAAGGGGTCCCGTACGTTCGGACGTTCGGGTTCGGGCGTTCGGCCCGTCCCGAACGCCGGCAACCCTGATCATAATGATAATAAAAATAAATAAATAAATAAATAAAGAACGAAAGAAAGACTGAAAGAAAGAACGAAAGAACGAACAGACGAAAAAGAAAGAACGAACGACAGAACAAACGAAAGAAAGAACAAACCAAGAAGAAGAGGAAGAAAAAAGAAATAAAGAAAACGAACAAAAAATGTTCCTTCAGGATTTGTGGAAGAATTGTCGGGAAATGCCTTGATTCCAAATATTAGGAAAGAACCTAGGAAGTCACGCCCGGCTGGGCACCTGGTACCCTGGGAGTTTTTTTTTGGTTTTCTGCACTCTCCTAGAGGACCCCAGATCCGGGCTCGTTTCTTTTTTTGTGAGTTGGCTGTCAAGGGGGTATAAATTGGTTTTGAAGGGGCTAAAGGGGGGTGCCTTAGTGTGATTCTGTTTTTCTTTTTTATCTCTCTGATTCTGTGAAGAATTCTAATGTGACTGTCAGCCAAAAGTCGTGTGTATTGCAATTCTACACAACATTTATATTTTTTTGGAATTTTTAATTTTTTTTTTTGCGCTGGGGCTGCCTGTAACCCTGCCTGGGGGTCATGCCCGGCCGGGCACCCGGGTGTACCCGGGCATAAGTTGGGTGCCCGGGCGCCCGGAAAACAGCCTAGGAAATAACTTTAAAAAACCGCTGGGGTAGTGCGCTAAGCAGCGCTCGCTACGGCTGACGAAGTCACGGGCCGGGATTGGCAGCGATGCGCTACGTGCGTCAACGCGCGGACTCCATGCTGGGCGCGTCAACACACGACCTTCGTGTGTCGACCACGTCAGCACATGGCCTCCGCGGGTGAAGCTTCGACGCGCTGAGAACGCACGAGGCTCATCGTAGGGAGGAAGACAGTAATTAACTGCGCCACGTCAGCCACGTATCCACGGTCAGCGAGGAGTAGGGAAAACGTGCGGCAAGGCGAAAAGCAGGACGGATATGGGAAGAGAGTGATCTAAGTCACCAAGTCAACTTCGCACGCTGACCACAACACGTTGACCTCCCAAGGGACTAAGGGACTACCGAGTCACCAAGGTAATTGCGAGCAGCAAGGACTACGGGCGTGTTGCGATTTCAAAGGTAAGTCGCTAATTGGTTCTCGGAAGGGGTGCCACATCAACGACGCAAGGCAGAAGCCTCGTGAGCACAAAGCAAGAAGAACGGAGAAAACGGGGGGCCTGAGAAAGAAAAGTGTAAAAGTGGAAGGGAGGGGGATCGGTTTCACAAATCGATACTAGGAGGCGCGAGCGTCAGTTTGATACAATCGGCAGGTGAGCACAAGGGAAGGGGGGCAGACATTAGTGCGGTGGAAAATTGTCAGAAAACAGGGGGCATATAAGAGAGGANCATATCTTTGGACATCCAAAGTTACCAACTCACGCTTCATATCCAAAGTGGCGTGGAAACATGTCACTAGACCAAAGCAGCAGGGTGGTCTGGGTATTCTAGACCCTGTCTCTTATACACATCTAGATGTGTATAAGAGACAGATATAGTACATACGGAAGGAAGGTGGGAGATTGGGAGGAGCACAACTGGGAAGAGGGAGCGCCACCTCGGCACAGTAGGCAGGAGAAGATATTAAAAAAAAAAAAAAAAAAAAAAAAAAAACGAAAAAGGGGTAAAGGCGATTGAGAGGTTTGCAAGTAGGAAACGGGAGTCTCACTTCGACACATTGGGCAAGAACGAAGGGGTGGAGGGATAGGAGGTCAAAGATGAGGGGCAGGAGGAGAAGTGGACAAATAGGGGGACGAAGGGGGCAAGTTAGAGACGGGGGGAGGAAGGAGTAATTATGGCAATCTCTTATGTGGCAGCAGCCCAAAGGACCATGAGCGAAAGGGAGAAAAGGGAGTTCAGCCAAAGGCAGAGGCGTCAGCCGGGACTCAACCATCTCAATCCACATCACAGACAGGGACAAACATAAAAGCAGGGGATTTCAAGACTCGCACATTGGGACAGAAAGCAATGGAATTTTTTATGGAAAAAACAAAAATCACAGCGGAAATCAAAGTCACGAAGGAAGTAATCAAGAGTGAGGGGGGAAGGAGGAGGAGGTAGAGGTGTGGGAATATCCGGAGGAGGACATTCAAACGCTAAACGAGTTGTACGAGAAACACGCAGTTCTATTCAATTTCTTGGGAAGAAGCAGGGAACTCTCATTGAATGAAAAACGAAGATGGGTGATGGATAGACTCAGGGCTATGGAAAGCATCCCAGCAAGGAAACCGGACGTCTCTTACCACAAGAGAGGAAGGTTCTCTGTGATGATAGTATGTGTTGACCCAACTTACGCACAATACCTGTTGTCTATTGGTTCGTTGAAATGCAAGGGGGCGGTGGTAACCATTCAGTCATGGAAACCACCACGTCCCCTGCAGGCGGAGGCTTCAAGGCACAGACAGTCGATGATGAGAAACCACTTTTGGGTGCAATTTGACAATTTGTCGGAGGGTATGCATAGTTTTGTGCAAAAAAGGTTAGTAGAGGAATTTCCTAACAATCCAATCATTGAATGGCTCCCCGCAAATCCAGACTTCCTCGCACCGAACCACGACTCACGGGTGGCTTGTTTGGAGGTCAAATCAGGGGCACCGCCGAAGTTCCCGGACCAATGGATCTTCAGAAAGAGCGGTCAGAGGATCACCATTTTTATATCGACTACAACAAACCCTTTCTCCTTCAAGTGTAGGGGAAGGGGTCACTTGGGATCCTTTTGTCCGCAGGGAGGCACATGCAGCAAATAGACTCCACTGCGTCAGTCGATGTTGCAGGAATGTGAAAGCAAGCCAGGGGTATGGTACATTAACTCGCCACAGTACGGAGGGTGGATTTTTGACGACAACTTGGAGGCTCCAAGGTGGGTGTGGGTCCTAAAGAGAGAACCTACAGTCAAGCCGGGCATATACCCTCCGTACGATAGTAGGTGGAGGCAAAAAGGAGTGAGGAGGATGGAGGACAAGGAAACGGGTTATATCTCGAAGCCAATACTAGACGACTCGACGATACAGGATGAGCAACAAAGATTGAAGTTCATGGAGGAGCTCCATGTGCTCGGGAAAAATGCAGAACGGGGGTTTCTAGAAAATTTGGCTGCCAGGAATCAACAGCAAGAGCAACATGAGGGACAAGAGGGCAGTGCAGAAAAAATGGAGGAGGAACAGGGGGATAACATGGAATGTGGGGAGGATGAAGGGGAAAGCACAAGTGGAGAGAATCACTCCTTAAAGAGAAAAGACCTGTCAGGGGAGAGGGAAGGATTAGGTAGGCAAGAAGGCCAATCGCAACAAGCTGAACGACAACAGAAGGGCACCGTAACTGAGAATGCGAAGGTGAGCCGAACTGAGGGGTCGGAGGATGGAGCAACACAAGGTAAGGAGGGAAATACTCAAGCAACGGGGTCGGATGCCAGCGGCCAGGGAAGCGAATCCACAAATGCATGCTGGGGAACCACCACACCAGAGGCATCCGTCAATATCATTGAGTAAAGAGGGAAGCTCATGCGCAGTGTTGAAAATATGACAGAGGAGGAAATACAGCAGGCAGAGGAAGATCAGAGGGATTTTACTGCAGATTCAGAGTCCGAGGACTCATCAGGGGAAGAGAATTGGATGGAACAATTAGGGGAGTAGGTCATGAAGCTAGAGCAGTGGACTCAGACGGTGGAATAGTTGGAATGGGGGAGAATGATTGAATGCGAGATCAGACTGGCACATCATAAGCATTTGAGGAATCTGAAGCAGGCGACTCAGGTAGCGGAAGATATCACCTCCGAAAACTGTTTTGAGCTGTTAAGAAGGGAAGGAGAGATAAACGAATTCTATGCAGCTCAATATGCAAGAAAAGCTCGCCCAGTCAAGAACGACATTCAAATTCAGGACGAAGAATATGCCAAAATCTTCCAATGGCCGAAGACATATCAAAGCAAGAGTAGTAAAGGAGGCAACAGGAAGAGGAAGGCACAAATGGATGAAGAGCAGGGAAGTAGGGTGGAACAGACGGCGGGAACGCAAGACCAGCCAAGGAAGGACGCAGCTAAGCAGCAGGAAGAGGGGGAGGAGGACGAAAAGCAGGAATTGCAAAGACAAGCAGCGATGTTGGAAGCCCAAGTCAATGCACTGAAGGACGAGAACAGGGAATTTGAGGAGGAAACCGTAAATCTGCAAAAAATAGCAAAAGGGCAGTTGAAGGAGATTGAAGCAGCAGCACGGTTGGAGGCAAAAAACAGAGCCAAGAGGAGAGTTATTCTGCCCTGTCAATGGAATGAAAAACATTCGGATTGGGAGGTAGCAATTAACCGCTCTCTCTACCTCATCACAACACCTCTCAGCGCCTGCGCGGGTAAGGACTTACAAAATCTAATTGGAGAGGGAGTACCGTCTCGAGTGGAGGAAAGAGACAATGGAAGCTTTGGAAGCGGGAGGGGAGGAAGCAGCAGCGGATTTCAGACCGCTGCTCATGCATATGAGGGATAGGACGGATTTAAGGGAAGGTCTGGTCTGGATGCCTTGGCAGGTTGTAGAAACCATCCCCTATGGGTTGCTAGGAGGGGAGGTGGCAGCAAAATGGGTGGCGCGTAGCGCACCAGTAGCGGTCAAGGTGGACGCCTTCGCGTGGAAGCCAAACTTCTTGGAAAAGAGGATAAGCCCGGTGTCAACAGTAATGGATACGACTCTGCTGGGTTCTTGAACCAAGTAGGCAGCCAAGGCATTGGGTAAGGCACGGGTAGTCAAATCATGGCGGACAGGGGGGCAGGAAGACCAAGGAAGCAGGCAAGGAGAGATCAGGAGAGTCATACACCCCCGGGAATTAAAATCATGTCATGGAATGTAAATGGCTTACAGGGATATTGGACAATCAAGGTAAATGGCAAAATATAATAAATTACACTGAGTGGTTCGACATCTCTCCACCAGACTTCGTATGTTTACAAGAAACGCACCTCGCAGAATGAAATGAACATCACAAAGAACATGATAATGTAGAGGCTTCAGAGGGTCAAAGAGGCATGGTGGGCACCAACGGTCAGATCTCATTCGGCAGGGGTGGTCATACTTCAAAACAATAGATCACCAGCAGCAGGCAAGATGGTGATGAACAACATTACAGTGGACGTAGCAGAGGGAAGATGGGTGAAGGTTAACTTCGAGTTCCACGAGGAGTCATACACTGTGTTGGTGGTATACAGTCCCAATGGGTTCCAGCAGAGGGCAGAGTTTGTGGGACAGCTTCAGGACATTCTAGAGGCGGATAAGCACTTAATACTGGTAGGGGACTGGAATGCTGCTGTGGATCCTAGCTTGGATAGAATATCTAAAGAGGGTAGACACTGGGAGGATGGCTTGGCAGAAGAAGCTTTGCCAATTCACAACATGATGACAAGCAGGGATCTGGTAGACCCATACAGACTGCAGTTCCCTGATGAAAGACAGTTTACTTACTTAAAAAGGAACCGCAATCAACACGTTTCGACATCATGGATAGATTATTTTTTAACGTCGCCAAGCATAACTGGTATGATACATTCAGTGGGCATAGGGGATCTGCCATATGGGACAGGATTGGATCATAAGCCTATTTTTCTCCATCTCGTAACAAATAAACAAGGCAAAAGGGGTAGTTTTTTTTACAAACTAAATAATTCGCTTTTGCGCACGACAGAAATGAGGCAGGCGGTGCTGCAGGTGTGCCAGACACATAATCCGGATACGCAAACTTTCCTAGACTTGCTTCTAGCACTATCCAAAGCTTCGGCGGGAGTGGCTAGACGATTGGCAACCAGAAGGAGGGAAAGGGAGCAGGAGTTACAACAAGTGATGAGGCTAGCAGAGCGCAACATCATCAACTTCCAAGGACACGACATCTATGAAAGGGCACTTGAGGTAGCGAGAGAGGAGTTGGTGGAATGGCAACGTTGGAGATCGCGGGGTCTGCAAATGAGGGCCAAGGTTAGAGAATGGGAGGAAGGGGAACGGATGACCAAATTCTTTTTTCAAAAAATTAAATATAGGGGAAGAAACAACCTGATCGGTCAGTTACAGGGACCAACAGGACTAACTTCTGACAAGGACGAGATGCTTCAAGTGGCCTTTGATTTCTATAGCAACCTATATGCAACAAGGGAGGCTGAGTACCCAAGGCAAAAGGTGAAGGAGGCACGATCCAAGTTCCTGACCTACCTACAGCCCACAATCTCCCAGCATCAGGCAACAAGTCTGGACGCTCCATTGACGCAGGAGGAGCTATGGGAAGCCTTAAAATCTATGGCTCCAAATAAAACTCCAGGGAAAGATGGACTCACCAGGGAGTGCTGGATGGAGTATTGGCCAATCCTAGCGGAGGAATACCTTGCTTTTTTTGAGCAGGCGTGGCAGGCAGAAGGATTGGAGCAGGACCCGGCAACAAGAATAGTCATGCTACTTTACAAGAAAGGAAATCCATCGGATGTTCGTAATTATAGACCGATAACCCCACTAACCCTGATGCACAAGATAGTCGCCAAGGTATTAGCGAATCACCTTACGGTAATTGCAACGAGTTGTTTTCATATAAATCAGACAAGGTTTATATCGGGAAGGTTCATATTAGATAATGTAATGACACTAACAGAAACGGTACGCTAGATCCGGGACAACTGAATTAATGCAGCCATCTTGTTCTTCGACTTTGAAAAGGCGTATGATCAGGTCAGCTGGCCATTCCTACAGCAATGCGTGGAAAAGATGGGAGTAGGCCCGAACTTCAGGAAACGGATAAGAGTTCTCTACAATGATGCACAAGGGCAAGTGCAGGTTAAATGGACATTTATCTTCGACATACAGGATGTCGAGATCGGTTAGGCAGGGGGACCCCCTAACCGCTCCGATATTTCTTTTCTTAATGGAAGCGGTGGCTTCCTACCGGCGCAAGGATCCATCAATCGAAAGGCTGGTAGCGGTACCGGATCAGCAGGGCCACACTATCCATCTCCCTACAACCCCCCTTTTTGCGGACGACCTGACAGTGCTTATAAGGGGGCCAGATTCATCGTTTCAGGCACTAACGAAGGCTATGGAAGCCTTCCAGCTTGCATCGGAAATGAAGATCAATTGGCAAAAACAGAGGGGTGGTGGTTGGTAGACCAGGAGCAAGAAGACATGCTTCCGGTTAACAGCCCGGAGGGGCTGCAGTGGAGAACAGCACGAGTTCCTATCAGATATATAGGGATCAAGATTACTGAAGGCGGGGTGCATCAGTCGATGGTGGCAGATCTAATGGCAAAAATTCTAGCTAAACTGGGGGCCTGGTCGACAGTCTATACATCCATTTATGGGAGGGCCCTTATACTCAACGCGTCCATCTTCTGTATGCTATGGTACACGGGGTCAATATGGACTCCACCAAGGACGACGACGACGTTATTGAGAAGAAGAGCGGCGACATATCTTTGGACATCCAAAGTTACCAACTCACGCTTCATATCCAAAGTGGCGTGGAAACATGTCACTAGACCAAAGCAGCAGGGTGGTCTGGATATTCTAGACCCGGACATTCAGCTTAAGGCACTACAAACCAAGTGGGTAATTAAGCTAATATCCCATCAAAAGTTATCATGGACTTCTCTGGTGTTGCACAGGATAAGACAAATGGCTAAATATAAAACGCCACAGAATATGTCGGGCCTGTGTTGGATAATGTGTAGCAATTGGGCTAAGGTGGGCAGAAGAGAAGGGGGTAACGCGGAGGACGAGGAGGAAGCTATGAAACTGTCATATTGGGGACAACTGCTGAAGTTGTGGAAAGATATCTTCCCTGCAGGGGTCAATGAACCTTGCACGAGAGAAGTAGTTAGACAACCTTTATTCTGCAACTCAAGCATTAGGGACGTACAGGGGAAGCCGCTGACGCTCTCAGTGAAGGATGCGAAGTGGGGAAAGTGGCTGGAGCATGGGGTTTGGCAGGTGAAGCACCTCTGGGAAGAGAGGGAAAACAGGTGGAAAACAGTCAGAGAACTTAGGGTAAGCTTAAAGGGATGCCACAAATTATCAGACAACCTTGAGGTAATATTGGGAGCCATACCGCAAACATGGGCGCAACTGCTACAGAACACTACACAGTGGGGCCAGGGAGACCGGGCCACATGGCGAGATGACAAGCATGGCGAGATGACAAGGAACCAAAAGAAGTCTTCAGGGTCTGGAGCCAAGAGGTTTCTAGGCCAGATTGGTTGCATGCAGATAAGTATGCCATACTCCATCCTCCCAACACTACTTCTCAACTGGATAGGACATCCAAAGCACCGATTGCCATTCTCAAACAGTACTTGCGGAATGTAAGGGTGGCAGAGACAGATGAATACACAATATTCAATCCATCTGTAGTGGTCCCCCGACATCAATTGTCCGAAATTCCATGGCCAAACATCGCAGCGATACGCCTGGGGTCAGTCAGAAGTATGCAGTGGCTAATAGCTCATGTGGCACTTCCGGTGAATGTATGGTTAAATGAGCGAAGAAGTCTGAGGCAGAGAGATTCAGAGAGCGCGGCATGTAGAGTGTGTCTAGAGGGAATTCCAGAGACAATGCAGCATTGCCTCATGGAATGCGTTGAGGCAACCACTATTTGGGGAGAAGCCAGGAGCATTTGGGGACAGGTGTCAAGGGGCATTTTCCCAGACTCCAAGATTTCCTTATTGCTGGGTCACGAAGTCCGAAAGCAAAGCATTGGCAGCCCTTCGAGAAGCACATGCTCCAATTGATATGCCAAGACTGTCTCTGGACCATTTGGAAGCGTCGTTGCCAAATTACTATTGAAGGACAGTCAATGCACAAGCAGGAGGCAAAGGAGATATTCCTCACATTGCTCAAAACGGATCTGAGGGGGCAGTGGAAGGCAGCGAGGAACCAAATTCGTCAGCAGCCGAAGCAGGAGGAAGAGATCACGAAACGCTTCAAACAGAACATTCTGGGGCACGGAGCCGTGGCAACCATACAGGGAGGTAATTTAATATTCAAATGGAGAAGGGGGTAAAGGGGTACAAGGGGGTACAATTCAAGAGGTTAGGGTTTAGGGCTTTAGCTAGACAGGAAGACGGGTAAGAGAGTCAGGAGGAAAGGGGCAAGGGCGGAAGCCACAGGGGTACAAGGGGGAACAATTTAAGAGGCTAGAGAGTTAGGGGGGCAGGAGTAAGGGCCGAAGCCAGAGAGGTAGCAGTAAAGTAAAGACTACAAGCGGATAGGATTGCACTAGGACAACAGGGGCATAAGGTGTCAGGTTTCACGAACAAGGGTAAAAAAAAAAAAAAAAAAAAGAAAACCTTCGAAGTTGAGGGGCAGTAAAGTGGAATGCGATCCGATGGTCCACGTCGAAGTTGAGGGCCAGATCGGATCTGGTGTTCTTCACATTGAGGAGTGAGGAGTGGTGGGCGGGGTTGGACAAGGTGGTTGATGTGATGGAGCCCGTGTTCGGCCTCTTGAGGCGGATGGATCAGGACGGTACCGGTCCCACAAACCTTCTCGAGTATGACGACATGATAGAAAGGAAGCTTAGCCATGTCGTTCTTACGGTGGAGCAGCGGGCGAGCGTGATGGAGAAAGTCAAAGATCGCATGAAGATGATGCGGCAGCCCGCCCACGCAACAGCCTTTTTTTTGGACCCGCGCAGGAGAGAACCGAGGTCGTTGCATGACCAAGACAGTGCGCTTGTGCAGAATACCATGCGCTTTCTCTCGAGGCAGGTTGGAGGTGAATGGAAAGGGCAAGGACACCTTGACATTTGGAGTGACCTGAATGAGTTCCACACCAAACCTACAAGGAACGGCCCGAAAAGGAATGACACGAAGATGTGGGACCCCACAGCGAAGGCGGATGTTGACAAGAAGACACCGTCAGAATGGTGGGCAGCACACGGTGGCGACGTGCCCGAATTGCAGAAGGTTGCGATCAAGGTYATGGGCATGTGGAGCACCGCGTCACCGRCTGAGAGRAACTGGGCTTCCATGGACTTCATCCATTCCAAACGGAGGAACAAGTTGTCGCCAGAAAGCTTGGCGAAGCTAGTGTACATACACTGGAACATGCAGCTACTGCGTGTTCCGGAGACTAACAACAACGGATTTGTGGACTTGTGGTGTGACTTCGTCGAGCCCGCCCCGGAGCCTGAAGATAACGATGGTTCGGTGTCGAAGGGGCCCGAGGTTGAGGCTGAGAAGACTGAGGAGGAGCTTGTGCGGGAACGGAGGCTCACAAAGACTCCGAAGGGAAGGGTTCCAAAAAATCTCGAAGACAAGGACGAAGAGCTCACGGATGACAGTGATTTGGATGACGAGCTGTGGAAGGGGAAGTGCGGATTGTCGGAGGACTCGAGTGGAAGCGAAGAGGATGACGACGATGACTCCGATTTTGAGCTACAACCGGAGCTGTCCGTCACCGGCATGACGTACATCGGAAGGAGGCGGATCGGATGACAACGCAGAGAAGAGCCACGCCCGGCAGCAACGGAGCCCGGGGTAAGGGAAACTGCACTGTACAATCCGCAATCTGATGTCGAGTTCGCACGGCTAGACACGAATGTGGAGACGTTGCTGGAAACGAGGGTGGACGAAGATGAGGAGGATGCGAACTGTGCCAAGGCTATGGCTGACCGGGAGACTGAACTCGTCAACAAACGTATGATGGAGGAGGAGGCCCGCCGTGCAGCTATCCCGACCCGGAGAGAGATCGAGAGAGGTCTCAAACAAGCCACGGAGCACCAACAGCAGATCAATCAGGCATTGGAGGTTGAGGAAGAAGGAGAAGAGGAGGAGGAGGAGCACCAGGTTGAGGTGGGAGATTACATGGAACAGGAAGAAGAGGCGAAGGGCATGGTGCAACCACAAGAGGGAGAGGAGATGAAGCACCAAGAAGAAGAGGAAGGTACGGTGCAAGGCGGGGAGGAAGAGGAAATGCAGCAGGAAGAGGAGGGGGAAGGATTGGCGCAACAGAAGATGCAGCACGACGAGGTCGATACAGCCCGCGAAGACGAGCCCCATCCCACAGCAACAGCAGTGTACACACGCAGGCCCCGGCCAGCGGAGTTTCCTGAGTCCGAGGAGAAGATACCGGAATTCCCCACAACGAGGGAGGATGTCCAGCATGACAACCTGTGGGTGAGCCGAGTGGGCAGGAAGAGAAAGGAGCCATCACAGGACGCTCCTGCGCAGCGGAAACGTCCTCGTGGCAAACCCAGGAAGCAGAAGACCGACACGGCCACTACACCGGTTAAAAAAAAGAAACAGCGCCTCAAGCGCAAGGCAGTCGTGGAGGATGACCCGGAATCAGCTGACTGCAGCGAACATCCATCTGAGGATGAGGGCTGCGACGCTGATTCCGAATGAGATCAGCATGTCCACAAGTGTGTGTG